TTCAAATTTGTCATGAAGACCAAAATTTTCATCCTCTATTTTTGAACCTCCAATGTCCTTGCATCCTAGTGGGTGATATGACCCAACGAAGACCATCGAGGTAATTTTCAGGTAGGTGTCATCCTTTATTCTGCATGGCCATGGGGATCTCCTGAGCATCTTTAACACCCACCCCCTCCTTCTGTGGGGTTGCCAAGGCTCCTTCTCTAAGACTTTTATCATCTTGACTCAGTGCTCCACAGACTGCCCGTGACCCCTTCCCGATAACTTCAATACACAGGAACAAGCTCTTCTGGTGGTACTCCCCATCCCTTCTCCTCTTTGAACCCTCACAGTGATTTCATTGAAAACTAAATGTCTCCTGATAAATAAAACACTTTTATTGAGTACTACAGCAAACCTGCCTGCCATATTTTCTTCTAAGTAAACATATTTACCTCTTACAGAGAAATAGTTTAATGCAGTTGAAATAATTTGGGTTGTGGAATTGAAAGTCCTAAACTCTATTCTTGGTTGTTCCATTCATTAGTTCTGTGATCTTGGCTGAGTTAATGTCTTCCTATTTCAAAGAATTATTGGGAAGGAAATTTTATATATCTATTCACACATATAGAAATGCTAGATATATACACATATATATAAATTGTGTATATCTATACACATGCACACATACTAAAGGAGCTTATGTACAGGACAAAGCTCTCTAAAAGCATAAGGGATTCATTTGCATTCAGGTATTTGCTGCCTTACCATTCTTCCCTGTTTCCAGTGTGTTCTCATGTCTCCAAATCAGTTTTATATTTGTGTGAGACTGGCTCCTTCCCTTGCACGTGACTTGTATCTGCAATGGTCTTTAGTTGGTGGATTAACTGAGTTAATTGCCTTAGCTCATTCTTAGCCCCTCTGTTTCCCCTTCCCCCGCCTTGACCCTCAACTCATCAAGATCCTCCCCTCCTTTAGGAACCTTCCTTCATCTACCGAAAGATGACAATGGTTTATCTAGCATACTACTCCTTAGGCAGAGAAATCTGAAATTTTAATATATGTGTAGTCAGAGAATAGTCTTAGTATAGACAGAACATGGGAGCAATGAAGACAGAACCCCAGAAGGCTGGGAGATGATGACATCAAAACTTGTACCAAGGCTCAGCGCCCATAGTACATTGGTTATGGTGCCGGCCACATGCACCGAGGCTGGTGGGTTCGAACCCAGCCAGGGCCAGCTAAATAACAATGACAATTGCAACCAAAAATAGCTGGGAGTTGTGGCAGGTGCCTGTAGTTTCAGCTACTTGGGAGGCTGAGGCAAGAGAATCGTTTAAGCCCAAGAGTTGGAGGTTGCTGTGAGCTGTGGTGCCATAGCACTCTACTGAGGGCGACATAGTGAGACTCTGTCTCAATAAATAAATAAATAACTTGTACCATTAAAAACTCTGCCAAATAAACAAAGAAGACGTGTGCAAGGGCCCAAAACCGTGTGTCCATCCAACACTGCTTAGGGCAGGAGTTCTCCACACTATTGTCATGAAAGTTTAGTTAATGGGCCTGTATGGAACTTTATACATCATGCTTTCACTGTTTGAAGGTTTTAATCCTTAGGGACATTAAATTAACAAACTGGCTCTGCTTTCATCCTTGACAAGAGATGTACACTTAAGCTTTCAAAGTTATGTTCATATAGCACCAGATTTTCTGGGCAAACCAACCTGAATATCAGACTTGCATAATTGTTTTATTTCTTCTTGTAAAAATTGGCATGCTGGCTTATACAGCAATCATGTGCAAGTTTATACAGCATAATTTTGCCCTTTTCACATCCATTCAGCTCTGGATTACATGATGGGAATTATAAAACAATGGACTAGAAACTATCATGATGATTTTAGCAAAATAACACCACCCCCCGGGGCTCTGCCAGAGGGGTGATCTGTCAATATCCATCCCAGAGAAAACCACCTCTGTCTTCCCACCTTAAAACACCATTACAACAGGACGGGGTTTACATTGTTCAAATTATAGCAGTTGTTCTATGAATTAACTTTTAAAATACAAGTTATTGAGCCATTCGCTTGGACACCCTGAGGAGTAGATCAAATATCTACTTAAAGATTCTCAAACTTAGCCATGCTCAGGAATTATGATGGGATCTTATAAAAATGCACGTTCTGGTTCAGGAAGCCTGAGCTGCTGCGTTTCTAACCACTGCCCAGGTGGCAGCAATGCTGCAGATCCAAGGGTCCTACCTTGAGAGCAAAGCCAGAGAGTTTCAGTAACAGAACAGTATTCATGTGTAATAGTAACACAGGGACTTTGACATTTTAAACAGCTCAACTAGAGAACACCAAAGTAACATTATCACTGTTAAGAAGCAACACAGCATCCTAGCTCTCTGACAGGCCAAGGCAGGTGGATTGCTTCAGCTCAGGACTTGGAGACCAGACTGAGCAAGAGGGAGACCCAATCTCTACGAAAAATAGAAAAATTAGCCAGGTGTCACGATGCATGGCTGTAGTCCCAGCTACTTGGGAGGCTGAGGAAGATTGCTTAAGCCCAGGAGTTTGAGGTTGTTTTAAGTCAGTCGGACCCCACTGTACTCTACCCAGGAAAACAGAATGAGACTCTGTCAAAAAAAAAAAAAAAAAAAAAAAAAAGAAGTGACACAGTTTGTGTACGTTTGTTCTTTACTAGAAACTATGTTTAAAAGGGTATTTTGGCTCGGCACCTGTGGCTCAAGCGGCTAAGGCGCCAGCCACATACACCTAAGGTG